GTACCAGGCCAAAAGAGAGATGTCAAGTAAGAAACACCTGTTAACTCCTCAAGAAGGAGTCCCATCACGTGGAAGATCCTATGTGCAGTATGAGGTATATTTCTGCCACGGTCTCATAAAAGCAGTCTGCTCACACATCTGATCTAAAAGGCAGACCCCAACACAGGTTGTGCCGCAATTGCCCCCTCCTACAGCAGCCTCTTGTTGACAGTCATAACCCACAGGAAGACTGTTTTATGCCCCATCTGTTAGGTTCTATAGAGAAATAAAATCGTGTGTGTGTGTGTAGAGATAGATGTCTAGCAATAAAATGACGCACATAATTTTAAAAAGTAGCTAAGTCCAGTTCAGTTCATGTCAGTGGGTTAGATATTAAGTGGGAGACTTCTGATAACATAGTTTCAGAAACTGATGGCCCAGGAAGCAGGAAGATGAACCATGAAAACCCGATGGATGCAGACACCAATGAATCTCTTAAGTTCAGCAGGTCAGAGATCAGGCAAGTGGTGGCCCCCAAGGTAGGAAAGCAATATGGTGGACTGTCGGCTCAGGTCCAAAGAACTGGAAGTCAGTGAGCTAGATGCAGAAGAGAGGAGCGTGAGAACTTCTTCCAGCCCTTTCAGTGCTCTGTCAGCCAATGAGGCTGAGCTGTGAGAGAACTTCACGGCGACAAGATAACACATGCTTGTTTTAACTCTCCAGCTGTGTGATCCTTTGTGACTATACCCTTGATGGGCACCTGGAACTGCCTTCTTTATTGGCCACTACAAGGAGTGCTTCCAATTTTGCTGATTTGAAAAATACATTTGCTTTATTTAACAACACTAAGTAATATAAAATGGAAATACAATAAAATACAAAACATAACACCTTCCCGTGCATTTTTTATGCATACATTTTGTTGGATTAAATACTGTTTGGAATTAGTGGGAAACCACTAGGATATGAAATTTCACATTGATTTGGCGTGGGAGTGACATTCTACACTTTGGATAACTAATTGCCCAATCAGCATAGAGTGTCATTTGTGCCTGATAATAGGATCCAAGAGAGCTCATTAATCATTTTAACCAATGCTCATTCACATGATTGTATTGTAGTATCTCTCTAGTTCTTGTTTCTTAAATAAATTACCATTCTCTGGATATTAGTCTCAGATGAGGAACTTCATTTCAATAGCTTATATAAATGGAACTGGCAGTATCCAGTTCATCTTAAAAATATAAAAAATTCTGGCTATGTTAAAAACCTCATCAGTTTGAACTAATGTAAACTGTCCAGAGTAAGATATAGATTTTAATATGATAGATGTACTGATTTCGAAGTCACTCCTTATAATGATTTTCAGATATGTTGCAAATCAGATTTCAGCCCTATGGCGGTCAAATTATCTTAACTTCTTAGTTCTTGACGATTAGCAAGGTTTTTATATACTTTTGTAATTTTGACTTAATATTCTCATCACAACACTGCATTCCAGTGGTAAAGGTTCCAAAACCATCATTTAGTGGTTCTAAGTGGCTTTTTTTTTTTTAAGTTTCTGCATGATAAATCCAGGACCCCTGGTTACCCTGTGGACTAAGCATTGAGCTGCTAACCACAAGGTCAGTGGTTCAAGCCCACTAGCTGCCCCATGAGAAAAAGATGAGAGTTGGGGCTATCTGTTCCTATAAAGACAAAGTCTCAGAACCTCAATACAGCAGTTGTAAATACAGTCTAAATCATCTGTGTATGTCCACTTGATCATACTACTGATCACTAAAAGTACAAGTTCATATCAGATAGTCAAGAAAGATATATGGAAACTGAAAGATATACTACTATTCTTAGGAGGTCAAAGAAGACATTTTAACAGAAATTACACAGTATATAAAGCTGATTGACACTGCAAGCCTTAATTATCAATGTATCTAAAAAAGATAGTCAAAGTGACATCTGTCATGAAAAGTCTATGTATTTTAAATGTAAATTAATGACCTACAGGTGAAGAAAACCTAAAGTTAGGAGAGAAAGGGGACACTCAAAAATACCAAATGTAAAGAAAGAACTAAAATATTAAAAATACAGAAACCCAAATGGAAAAGCCCACACCTAATTCTGGATTGTTGTGCTAGGACAGGTTGACCAGAGAAACAAATCCAGAGACAGTCATATATATATATATACACACACACATATACACACACACACACATATATATACACACACACACACACATATATATACACACACACATATACACACACACACACACATATATATATGTGCTTTATATCAAAGAGCTGTTGTATATTAAGAAACCATCCCAGCCCAGTCCAGATTAAGTCCATAAGTCCAATATTAGTCTGTGTGTCCTGTACTAGTCTATAAATTCCTGTTCAGACTCACATAGCACATGCAATGATACCACATGCAGGACATTCACAGGCTGGTGGGTAGAAAGTCTTGCAGATCCAGTGCTGGTAGAAGCATCTCAGTGCTGGTGTGGGTCTCTATGTGGCTCCTCCAGCTCTCTGAGCGTCACTCCTCAACAGCAGCTTCTCCATGTGGCTTGTCAACAGGAGGGTGAAAGCAGAGAGAGTGTGTCCCACTTCCGGGGAGAAAGAGAGGAAGTTCTCAGAATCTTCATGAGAAGGCCACACCCACAAGGAGGCATCATCAGGCTGTGATGTGATTGACAGGCTAGACTCCACCCCTACACTTATTTATCAAGTTGACATGAAATTATATAGCTACCACAATAATCGTTACTTCTAGGAAAAAAGAGGAAAGAATAGAATGGAAAGACTCTAAAGGGGACTTTAATTATATCTGTAACATATTTCCTTTAAAAAATATATGACAGACATGGTAAAATCTTAATGTAGGTTAATCTAGGTCCAGGGTTGTATTGTTTTTATGTTGGATTTTTTTTCTCCTCCATGCTCTGTACATTTGAAAATTTCACAATAAAAATTAGGAAAACAATAATGCCACTTAGATAATTAAGTAGAATCTAGCTCTTTCTGAATGTATTCTTATACCGTTCACTATTCTGCCAACCATTCTTTGTGCTCATTACTTTTAGGAGAGTCAGGGAGTTAAACAGCAGCAACACCAAAAAGTTTCTAGAAGAAAGGAAAAGAGTGAGTATTTTATCATTTTCTTGGCGCCCCTCCTCTGAAGAACTAACTCTACACAAGTAACTTGCACTTAGTGATCTGACTCCTAGCTGATCTGCTTAATCTCGTTTCTCTGTACGTTAAGTATCCCAATTTCTCCTCTTTTGGTTCCCTGGAAGCTAAATAAGCTTATACTGAGATCTTTAAGCTAACTTTTTGACACTAGTTTATCGTGGAGAAAATGAAGCCAAGTTTTAACCTTAAATATTCTAGCATTTTCTAAGAATGTATCAAACAAATAATCCGAGGCAAAGTTGCAGATTTAAATTTTTGCAGTTTTCCGACTCTTTTTGTTATTATTGTTACCTCCCTCACTTAAATTGTAAGCTTCCACGTCATCCCTCCTCCTGAATTCCTCAGATGGCAGCCCAAAGTTTATTGGCATTTTTGTTTATGTTTTGCAGCTTGCAATGAAGCAGTCCAAAGAAATGGATCAGTTGAAAAAAGTACAGCTTGAACACTTAGAATTCCTAGAGAAGCAGAATGAGCAGGTATTGTGTGTCAGGAGCATGAAACGATTCAGTAGCCAGGCTGCTTTGGGGCGCGGAGACTGTGTGCCGATGTCATCTGGGCCCATGCTTTTGCCTTCCGGAAGTGGAAAGTAGCTAGGAAAAAAAATGGTGTCTTTTTCTGATTTTCACCTTTTCACCCCAAAAGGACTTCATCTTTGGGCTAGATGAAGAATGTGGTTGTGGGGGGGTGGGGGGGGGAATAGAAAGGAAAAAAGTCATCATTTGATTATCTTGTGGGAATTCTCAGAGAAGCCTGGCGGGCACCGTGGTTAAATGCAGAGCTGCAACTGCAGGGTCAGCAACTCGAATCCACCCGCCGCTCCTCAGGAGAAAGGCGAGGCAGTCTGCTTCTGCCAAGACCCAGTCTTGAAAACCCGATGGGGCGAGTCTGCCCTCCCTGCCTTACACTGTCACCGCGAGTCAGAATCCACGCAGTGGCGGGGGGCTTTAAGAATGGCATTATTGAACGGGAAAGGAGGAAAATTAGGGAGGAGCCAAATGACTTCTCCCTTTTCAGTTAAGGTTGTCAACTTTGCAACCCACAGGCCAGCCACGTTACATTTTAAATCAAAGGAGGAGAGAAAACACTTCTTTACAGCCTCAATCTAAAAATGTAAGGCTGACAAGGGGGATCTAAGAGCAGGAGCCACAGCGACGTGACAAAACCAGGGGAGTGGGCGCCATCTGCCCTCTCGGTGCCCGCTCCCAGCACAGCGAAACACCGCAGCAAAAGACATACAAATAAAAAAGCTCTCCGAAATCCAGTCAGCTCGTCGTGCCCTCCGACACAGGCCAACACCAAGCGGAAACTCATACGTGTTTGCCTGGAGCCCGTCCAGAGGGACTGCATCCCACTCAGCTTCCTGGTATCACTTCAGTCTGGTGGAAACACCTCTCACATGGCCATAGGACCTTCAGTAGCAGTTCACAGTTTAATCTCAGTTCAAACTTCACGCTCTAGGGCTAGTGGCTTGGAAATATTATTTCTAGGTGATTTACTTCAATTTAGAAACTTTAAAGAGGTTTTGAGAAATGTGTGCGTGTACTACTTATTCTAGTCCCAACTTCCTGTAAAGCAATTCTGTTTAAAGTATATTTTTGTTTCAGAGTAAATCGGTCCCTTGAAGAACACTAAAATAGAAAATATGCTTGAAAATTACCTTTAAGAAAGCAAAACAAAAGAGTAACTTTTTTCTTTCTCTTTTTTTGCTTTTCAATTAGGCATCAAATAAATTCAACTTCTGGTTCTTTACTATAGTGGATAGAAGTTTTATTCATAAAAATATCTCTGATTTTTCCACATTTCCTTTTCAGCTAAATGCTTCCCTCCATGAATTGCCCACAAATTCCCAAATGGGACAATTCATTTGGCCAACTCATATATGAATCATGTTCTAGTACAAATTACCTAGCTTATATATTTCTTCTTAAAGCACTTCTCAAAAGGTGTTCTAGGGGAAGGGAAAAAAAACTATGGAAGGAGGTGGGAAGGATGAGACTATGAACAAGGGAAAAGTCACCATTTTGAAGAATTAAAATCCACATCAGTGATGGAGAAGGAGCATGCAAGGAAGGGTGGGAACGAGGATGTCTTGAAGTGTTCTTACAAACCTTCTTAGAAGAAGGGTATGATGCAAGGCAAGGTAGGGTTGTGTTTCAGCTAACCAAATTAAGAAACTACTTAATTATGTTACTTAGCAACAAGTTCGGCTCAAGAATATAAGTGTGCTAAAAATTGTTTATCACTCCAACAGTGATATGCTTCAGAGCTACAGAATCCAGTGACTGGATGTCTTTGTCAGACCCTAAGTGCATCATTAAAAGAATCCTTCCAAAGTTCATAGAATAAACTCTTAGGCTAGTGATATCTGTATCAATTGGATCACTTGGGGAGCGCGCCGGGGTTTTTGTTCCACCATTTCATCGAATGCTGAGGACTGATTAACACCTAATGCCCACAACTGATACATCAAGTCACGGAAGCGTAGGACAAAACAGAACCTGAGAAGACTGCAGATTCAGTGAAAAGAAATTCAGGATATCATACCGATCCTCCTGGAAAATAGGATTTGGACTTGAATTTCTGTGTTAAGCTTTATTTTACAAGTAAGACTTCTTTAATAACAAATTCAATTCCAGAGTAGTATATTTTTGAGGCCTTTAAAGGTCTAGAAATCCAGAATTCACGTGTATCCTTTGTGTTAAAATCCAGTTAGAGACACAGTGGAAAAGATAGAACCAGCAACTCCCATTTCTTCCCTCATAAAAGACATGCTCTGGAGCTGTAGATGACCCCTTTATAACCGATGAAGTATTTCCAGACAATTCCAAACATTTAGAACTATTTTCCAGACCATTGTGAAACCCCGAGGTAGTTTGCGTTTGTTTCTATATCAAAAATGGATTCATTTGAACAGTTCCCCATAATGCTTCCCTTTAAAGTTCCGACTGTGACCCTGTTCCTGGGAGTTCTTCTGGTCACACACCCCCCTCCCCCAAAGTAGGGCATAGAATGCATCGATCTCATTAGGTCGTCTGGCAAAAACAACCCAATTTCTACCATGGTTTGGCCCTAACTATGGATCCAACGCACCACTTCCTACTTAAGTCACTGTCCCTGCCTGTGTGGTCAGCAAATTCTCATTTCACCATTTGGAGGTTAGGGATTTGTTTCCTACTTAAGCTTTCCTGTAGGCTACCCACCCACCTCATTTGTTCTCACACCTCCCATCTCCAACACTAACAATATCACTGGTGTCACACCCAAGTTTCAGAAGTGGATTTTTGTCATCAATCCTATACCGTTGAATAAAAAAGAGCCAAGGGGTTTTGGTTTTTTCCCCCCCCTCTCCCCCCAGAAGAGAGGTACCATCTGTACTGATAGGCATCGGGGTGTGGCATTGTTCATTTGTTTTCTTTTGCACTCAGCTCGGGGAAGTGTGTCACTGATGGGTGTGTACATGTTTTAGTCTTAGCGTTTTGCTTTTCTGGATATGGTTTTGCATTCATTTCTCAGGTTCACTTCAGTATTCATTTATTTTCTTTGTTTTGTATGTATGACTCAATTTTGACATTGCTATTTTTGTACAAACAGCTTTTGAAATCCTGTCATGCAGTGTCCCAAACACAAGGTAGGACTCAACCTCTGATAAGCAAAATGATGCTTTCCTTGTCCATCCCGTCGGTATTCTTGGCTTAGTCTCCTTGATGATTGATTCTGCTCATAGCTATTTAATGCTCAAGGACTGCGATACAAATGCCTGCTGCTTTCATGCTTGGATCTTTGATGTAATATCAAACCACAATGCCCCAAATCTCTAGAAAATGAACTCTGTGGGGTTTTAGCCAGTGTTTCCCTTTGGAAACCCAGGTTGTGGTCATGAGTAAACACGCAGGCATCAAAAACAAGGTTTCTCAGTGGTTAAATGGGCCAGTCACAGCCAAGACTGGATCCACTACTCAGTCAGTCCTTCCCAAACATAGTCTTACTCTGGCCCTAATTAACGTTGAAAGGTGGTTTTTGATGACAGCTGGACTTCCCTGCAGAAGCATTATGTAGTGACCAGTGTCATGCTTTCTGCTAAGTCTGCTCTGCCCAGAACCCTCCTTACCCTTCAGGAGGAAAGTGACCATATAATAGAGCATCTAAACCAGGGTTGTTTTGAGATTAAACTGGGGAACTCTTCCTAATAACCAGGACTGAACTGGCACTATCCCAGTAAAATAGGAATGAATGGTCACGTGCTCATAGGAGAACTATATTGGCTCCTGGAATAGTTCGTAATGCTGTATGATCCATTCTAAACTGTGTTCCATCGGGATTTTAAATGCTGATGGAGAGGAGCAGAGGGAACCAGCTGTTAGTATTTTCTGAACATAAAGCATTTAATTTTCGGTGCTGATAAGGTTTCACTGCCATCTCTTAGAAATACTGTTTGTGTCATAGTTTCATGTTTGCATACTTTTCTCCATTTCTTCATTTCTTTATTAGAGTATTGGTATATACTCAAGGTATAACAAAATATCTGGGTAAAAGGAAACCTCCATCCCATAGTTAAGCAGAAAGTTAACATTCTTTGGTGTTACTCTATCCATCCCCACCAAAATAACATCTAAATCCACAATATACCAATCAGAAGAAGAAAATCTGCATGGCCCATTGATTAAACCGATGTCATAACAGAACGTCATTTGAGACATTTCTATGCCTGCAGTATATCTCTGGGTAACACAAGCAAAGTGCTTATCTACTACCCAAAAGGCTATTGGGTTAAATCCACCCAGAAACACCTCAGGAGAAAGGTCTTCCAACAGATTGTCACCATTGTGAACCCTGTGGAGCATAGTTCTCCTCTGAAACGCCTGGGGTCACCATCAGTCCGAATCAACTCAAAAGCAACTGGTAGTGTGATCTGCTGAGTTGATCAGACCCTCCCACAGACCTTGCCAAGCAAATCTGAATCCTCACAACAGAGTGCTACAGACTGACACCGTTTTCGATCGCCATGCTTGCGTTCTTGAACGCCCTGGACTCCTAAGTGATGTGTCATTAAAAGACGACAGGATGCTTCCATTTGGAAAGTAAAAATTGCAAAGAACCGGTGGCTTTTTCTCTATGTTGTCAAGCAACTATCTATTAGCAGACCCAGCCTCTGCCTCCATCTGACCCCTTCCCACCCCCAAACTAGCTCATTATTCTAGTAACAAAGTCTCCACTCAAGAGATTGATGTCACTGTAGCTTGCTTCCTGGATGTCTGTAAAGAATTCATTACCCAGAAAAGTGAGAATCCGTGGGGTTCATTGTGGGGACAATAGGATGCCAGGGACCCCACATATTCCTGGAACATTCTTCTTAGAGGACGTGCCAACAAAGCATGTGCAAGTTGCCCCCTCCTGAACATCTCCAACAGTTAAGAGTCTTAGGAATTACTGTCAATCAAGTTTCAGGCTATCAGGGAATTAAATAGCACATAAGTGACACTCCAGAAGTGATTTTTTTAAATGTATACAACAGTCTACACAACATCTCAATCTGTACAAGCTGAAACAAGAACAGCTAGACATGCAATAGCCTTCATATCAGGAAGCCAGTTCAACCTCGTTTTCACATGGTTTTCCTGCCAGTGTGTCGAGCAGTCTCGCTCAGATTTCTTGAGTCTCTTATCAAATGCAGCCGGTGCTTCCTAGGTCTGGGGCCTGCGATTCTGCGCACCTGACAAGGTCCCAGGTGATGCTGACGCTGGTCCGTGGACTCTCCAGGCTGAGTAGCGATGACGTGACGTCTCAGACTCGGGGAGCAGAGGGCAGGGTTATTGGGTACTAGCTTCATTGACAGGTGTCAGTGCGTAAACCGTGCTTCCCATGTTGCAGGCGAAGGAGATGCAGCAGATGGTGAAACTGGAAGCCGCGATGGACCGCAGACCAGCCACAGTGGTGTGAGGCTCCAAAGCGCAAACTGAGGGCGCAAAGCTACCAGGCGTCAAAGCATCCCCCTGAACGGCTCGGCGCAAATTCCAGGGGGAAAAAGCAGTTCCCAAAAAAATGTGTTTTCTTTCTGTCTAGCCAAGATATTCCCCGAAAGTGTAGAGACTCGGGACAACGTAAAGACTTCTGTTTAACATCTTGAGTATTACAAACCCACCAAAGTGTAATATTCTAATAAGGCAGAGTTGAACTATTGGTAATACAACTTAAACATGTTTGCTGTAAAAAACCATCACAAGTAGGTGAGCTGTGTGTTAACAAGTCTGCTCTGTGGTGCATTCGGACATGTTTGAGCTGTAGCAAAAGTAGAGCGTTAGCAGTTTCATAGCAAGTGCATGCACTAGCCAAGAAGATGCGGAAGCAAAGACTGTGCCACAAACTCATCAGCGGGAGTGGTGGTCTGCTAACCAACTCATTTCACAGACTTTGTCTCTATTTAAGTTACCTCATCAGTACGTGCCATGTCTCTACCATGCCATCTCAAGCTAATTTCCTATCAACGTTGTGCAAATGACTAGACCAGAAACAATATAGCCGAGCAGTAGATCTGTGCCAAAACTCAACAGTGCACAAAGGGGAGCTCCGTTAGGCACACTGAAGAGTTGGCTTCTGACATAGCTGTATAGGAATTGCTTCTGCAGATTCCAGGTGTTCCAATTCACTATTATAGCATCAAGATTGTGAAGTGGTTATTGGCAAACCTTTGTAAATGTGACCATGTACAAAGTATTTATACACTTTAATTCACCGTTATAGAGCAAAATCATCTTACTTATCGCCACCTGACGAGAATAGTAAGCAGAAGTACTCGAACTATGTTTGCATGATGCGCACGCGCCAGTTACGACTCATCCATGCAGTTAACCCAACGCCAGACGAACATTGGCTCAATAAATAACGGCACAGCATATCATTGGAATTTCAAGACTTCTTAGCATAACAAAAAAGTCTATATATATATGTGTATATGAATTATGTGGGCATTCTTGATACTTCGAGTTCTAGTTTGAAACAAAAGTACATAACTAATTTAATTTTACACAAAAATATTTATGCAGATTTTCAGAATTTCATATCAGGAAATAACCTTTTTATGTCTGTGAAAGAGCCCCACAGTTTGCTACAGTGCTCATCGCATGGTCTCCAAGCCGGCTGCCATTGTGTTGCAGCCCGTGCATGAACAAGCATCCCGTTAGGGGTCGAGCCATGCTGCCACAGCCAGAGGAGCACTTGGAGATTTGGTAGTCTAGAACTAATCAGGTTTCTGATCTCCGTCCACACGCCACCAACTGAACTGTTGTATATGCTTGTACAAACCGATTCTGTGTGTTCCACTGCACAAAGCAGAGAAAAGTACGTTACCATCAATATTGAAACTAAACTTCCGACTTCTCTAATAAAAAATTAAAACACATTTACGCCTACCAGAGTATTTTGCTCCCAAGGATGCGTCTTGGTGTTAATATTTCACCGCTTCCTTCAATGAACTCTCATTCTTTCCAGAAGCCTTATTTACATCCCCACACAGGCCTCCAAACGGCACAAAGTGCACACAGTGCTGGCTGGCTACCAAATGTACTTGCGTATATTCATAACTTAAACTGATTTCTGTAATATTTCTCTGGTACCTAGTTTCCTTATCTATAAAGCTGTGGGGCGAGAACACTAACATTCCATGAAAAATTATTACTCAAACACGACCACATGAAATTGTCAATTTTTCAACGGTTTCAAATGCCTTCTCTTCATATCAATTGGCTTTTCCAAGAGCTCAGTTTATATAATCATCTTGCGGCACTTAGCTAACTTAATCACTTGCCTGTTCACTTGCCTGTTCGTTCCTTTTTGTTTCTGAGAAGCACTCCTAATAGCTCATTCTTATGAACGTGCGTTCTCTTGCTTCTCATTCCCCTACACCAAGTTATTACATCTTCCAAACTTCTCTCTGGGCCGGTCAGCGAATGGGGACGAGGGAGAGTATTCCGCTTGCTTTCTCGTGCCATCCTCATGATGAGAGTGGGAGGACACCCCCCAGCCGCACCAACCCGGTGGCTGGTAGACCTTAAGGACCCTGCCCTCACGCAGTTCACTCAAACTACTGCCCCCACCCAGCAGATCACACCACATGCCTGAAGAGTTGATTCTTATGCCTGCCTGTGTGTTAGGCTGGGTTGTCAGAGAAACACATCCAGTGACACCTATCTATGTATAATGAGAGCTTTATATTAAGAAACGACATCAAGGGCATCCCAGCCCAGGTCAGTTTAAGTCTGCAAATCTGTTGCTGGTCCATAAATCCCTCTACAGATTCAAGTGCCTACGTGCTGGTGACAGTATGATC